CTACTCTCAATTCCAACACTTAACACCAAATCAAGTCATTTAATCTCTATGAGCCTTTGTTTACTTTTCTTTTAAAACAGTAACAAAAATATTTGCCATTAACACTTCAGTGGGTACTGGGGAAAGAGACATCAGATGAGATACTCCCAAAGAAAGCAGTTTGAAACCCATTTGAAGCTATGGAATTATAAGACCCTACTGTTATGAACACTCCCAAAAGAGCCAGGGGTGTCTGTAAGGGGACCCATGGAGCAAACTAAATATATAAAAGAAATTGAGAAACTGTGTTTTTCAAGTCATCAGTCATTACGAGACCCTTGAGCTCTATATATCTTCATTTCCTAGAGGAGATACTTGTCATTTTCAAAGTCTTTCCATTTTGGTTTTATTATCTGTATGATAATTGATATGAATAAAAGATAATTTTAAGTTAATAGCAATAACTACATCTACTGGCATAATATATTTTATGTCCTTGATAATCTGTTTTCCAAAAGGATTTACCAGTTTACAGTAAAGAATGCAAATGTGAATAAGGTTTTGATGAAAGAGTAATAAAATAGAAATAAGGAATAGGAACCTGATATAATAGAGGTAGACAGACATACCTTGGTGCCTTGATATTTTATACTAAATTCTCAGGCAGTGTTCAAAGAGCACCAGAGAAGGAGTCTGACATCTTGTTTCTTATTCTAGTTTACCTACCAGGTGGTTTGCATGCTAAGACTTATACTTATTCCTTAATTTATTATTCTACCTGCTATACTTTTCTACTAGCAAATTATCTAGTTCTCTTTATTTTTTCTATTTTAATTCATTTATTACTGAAGTATATAGTTGATTTACAATGTTGTGTTAGTTTTAGGTGTGCAGCCAAGTGATTCAGTTTATATATATATGTAATATGTATATATAATATGTACATATTATATATATATTATATATGGACACATTATATATATAATATGTACATATTATATATATATTATATATGGACACATTATATATATAATATGTACATATTTTATATATATAGTCTTTTTCGGATTCTTTTCCCATATAGGTTATTCCAAAATGCTGAGTGTAGTTCCCTGTTAGTTCTCTTTAAACTTAACTCTTTCAGGTCTCCCTTGGGAGATGCTTCCAAACTTGTTCCATTTTAATACCAACTGAACATTATTTCAGAAAGAGCTAATTTGTTGCTTTTAAACATAAATATATAACCAACATTATATATAAATGCTTTTCTGGAGCCATTTTATTTATAATTATTTGATGGGGAAAATAATAAATTAATTCCAGGTAGTCTATTCTATTTTCTAACTAAACTTTCCTTTTTTTTATACACACACACACACACACACACACACACACACACACACACACATACATGCATATTAATGCACATATGTATATATATATTATTTTTATATCTAATGTAAATCTTAAAGTGGACCATGATTCTATTCCTGTTGGTATCCAGAAAAGTAATGTGCTATACGTATATGGAGCTGCCAAAATCACCATCAGCTCCATCCTAGTAGAGAGCTATCCAGTTAGGAAAACAATAAGCCAAACCCACTGTTGGTGCTTTCAAGACAAAAGAAGTTGTGTGTTATATAACATATCATATGCTTGTTGACTATTTGAAGATGAGTATATCCACCTTATCATGGCTAACGGTGACAGTGTGGAGATTCCATTCCTGAAATACTGTGTTGGTTGGAACTCAGCAAAGCAACTTCAGCTGCTTGCAAACTTGCAAACCCTGCAATGTTAAATGGCCAAAATACCACCACAGCATGTTTTTCATCAGTTGAATGAATCACTTTTTGTTAGCAAGCAGGATATTTCCATCGTTCTGATTATTAATAAATGTAGCATGATCTTAGTACCAGCATACTGAGCACAGTGAGAAACCAGCAATCAGAAACGCTAGTCTCTTTCTTGGAGTAGAAAGCATGTGATTTGGTACTGTATGTCTTAGAAGTGAAAATCGTTAATGGATTAAAGAGGATTCTTATGGTTCCTGGGATGCTCCCAAAAAGTTGATTTGTAATCCACATTTTAAAATAATAAAATTAACTTTTTAATTTGAAAATGTAAAGTAAAATTATTCCATGTTCCCCCTGGGACTCTAGGCATTTTGTATTAAAACTAACAGAAAGCCTGTATTTATCTTTAAAAACCATGCAAGACAACAAAGCTAATTAAAGAAGAAAAAAATAACAAGTTATCAGGGCAGAGGGTTGTAATTATTAATTAACTTCCTCTAAAGCCAACATTGGACTATGGAAGCATTCAGGGTCTTTAGTCACACTTACTAGCAAATTCAGTACCAAGAATACATTTTAAAATTTATTTCTATATAGCAGAAAAAGCTGTATGCTAAGGACTTTGTACCTTTTATGCCCTTTTCACTTATAAAGTTAGAATTATCTAACACAGTGATATCCTAACTTCAGAACAACAGAGGCAATAAAAATAATAAATTAAGAAAAATTAAACCATATTCTCTTTCTACTTATCGTAATATTGTCATAGTGTAGTTTCACTCTTTGTTTATTTAAAAATTGAAGTCACAGTGACCTTCTAGCCACCACATATAAGAAGTTGTGTATTTATCTTTTAAAATGCTCTTCCTCTTTGTATTCTTTGTTTTGAGAGTACTGAACGGGGCAGTGGGTGAAATATAAGCAGAGTAGAAAGTTTGTAAAGTTATTTGTATGGTGAGAAAGCCGGACTAGCTTTTGAAAACATGTCAGATTTAGGGGTTATGGCTTTGTTTTTTCATTCTGCTTCGTTCTTATGAGAAGCTGTGAAATAAATGAAGTACAGACAACTTTACGTCATTGGTACAGTTTATTGTAGAATGATGTTAAGCTACGATTGGTATATGGTAAAGCCAGGCTTTTGGAGGCACAAGGGTCCAGATGGAGACCTAAAGGAGGTGCCACTTATTTAAGTCAGATATTTGGGTCTCTGTTTCCAAGCAGTGTTAACAAATGAAATATTCCATAGAACTGCTGTGAAGACCCAGCTAATAAATCTGAAAAACACTTTTGCAGACTGTAAAAAAGCACCATGTATATGTTGCTGCTGCTATCAACTTTTGACTTTTTCTTTTCTGTAGTGACAAAATTATTTCCTGATAGAGTATGGATTTATTTCTGTAGCAGAATCCACTATATATTTAGGATAGAATAGGGTAAGATTTTATAAATTGCCACAGTGTCACAGGCTGATTTGCACTTTTGGTGACTCTGTGTATTAATCACTGAGTAACCTTCAGTTTTCCAAATAAAGAGTAAAGGGAATGGTGATGACATTTGTAATCATCTACAGAAATGGAATTATTTAAATTCTTCACAGATGGTGAGATATCAAGAGCAAATCATTATATCCACATTTCTAATTTTAAGAATCTTTGAGGGTGTTTGTGGATAATAAGGAACAAACATTGTTTTGCATGTAGAATTAAACATAAACTTTCCATGCTACAATCCCAAATTTTCCAGATGACTGTGGAGGGCTTTTCAGACACCATCCCCTAAGAATCGAGAAACTCATAAAAGGAAAATAATGTTATGCTGCATACAATACACAAACTGATCATATTGGAGCAACTAGAATACTGACCTTTCAAAGAGGACAAATTAGATTCTATATGCCTCAGAATACAACGTGACTTAATGCCTTAGAAGAGGATGGCATATGACATATACTCCTAATTCTAGCCTCATAGCAGCTTACTCTGTTATTTCTAAACAAGCTGAATAATTCATTTCTTCTTGAAACAACATAATTCAACCCAATATTCTCTGTAAAGTAAATTGATCAGTGATTGAGATTTTTAGTAAATGCTAGAGATATATGAATGCTTGTCTAATGTTGCTTTAAAACAGTTTCAAGGATTGGACTGTGTTCAGTGGGAAACACAAGAAAATCTAATGCCAAATGTTCTCTGAACTTTGAAATGAGTGACATATGGAACTACTCACTACGGGTGACATACACACAGTCATAGAAGCTACAATGGTGTAGTCTATTCTGGCTACCAAATCTGCATGCTTTTTCCCAAATTCAGATTTAAAAACCTGTTTGTAAAAATAGATTTTTGAAATTTAGGTGATGCAAATGTTTTCTTTATTTTTCTTCCTCTTTGTTTTCTAACCTCTTTGTTTTCTAAGTATTTTTAAGTCAGTATATTCTTACTAACCCCTGGGTTTATAAATTATAAGAGTTAAAACACAAGTAAATATTAAAAACAACGTTGAACCCACTAGTCATAATTGATAATACTGCTTTTCATGATCAAAATTCATTAAACTGAGGGTTTTTTCCTATGTCTCCTATGTCTTCTTTTTGAAATTTAGTTTGGAAAGGAGCTAGAAACTGTTATAGAATACCGGATAAACACCACAACTAGGGAATAAAATATAGAGTTAATTTTTTAAAGACCTCCAGAATTAATTTTTACCACCTTTTTTATAGCAACATAAGAGGGAAATAGGCAAATGCTCTGAGTCATGTAACTGGGTTTTCTCAGGCTTTCTTTTCTGTGAGGGTGACAGAGGGCACAGGCAGGAAAGGAATAACGGCTTTGGACTTCCACGTTACCTTTAGTTTTGTGTGGCCTTCCTGGAGCTGCTCCCTACTCCACTGACCAGAATATTCTGATAGCTAAGAGATGGAGGAACTAGTTTCCTATCTCCTGCCTGCCCTGGCCTAGATTGAAGAAGGCAGAAAAGTTGTTTGTCACAAGGTAGCAAAGCTCTCAGCCACAGCATGTTATCTGCCCTCTGCCCTTATACAGCAGGATCTGAAGATGCGAGGAATGTCTCTGGCTAGCATCTGCTTTGTTATTGACTCATTTTGCCTGCATCTTTAATTTGGGGTGACAGCCGTCTTCCAAGGCTTTGGATGCCAATCCCTCTTGGTCACCGTGTACTGACACGTGGCGGCCATTTCTTGCCACAGCTGCCTGTGCAGAGTCTCAACAGTGTACCCACAGCTGGCAATACGCACTGCAGGGTCCTGACGGCTCCCTCTCTCCTTGCTTTCGCAGCTGGCGCCACGTACATCTTTGGGAAAAGTGGAGGCCTCATCCTCTACACCTGGCCGGCCAATGACAGGCCCAGCACGCGCTCTGACCGCCTGGCTGTGGGCTTCAGCACCACCGTGAAGGACGGCATCTTGGTGCGCATAGACAGCGCCCCAGGCCTCGGGGACTTCCTTCAGCTTCACATAGTGAGTACCGGACTGTGGTCTGGATTCTCTTGTCTTCCTGGTGGTCTGAGTTGGTGAGGCAGATAAATGCACTGGAACATTCTAGATAGACATGGCAAAGGGGCGCATGCTTGTAACGTTGCCTCAGTGTGTTGGAGCCACACCCAGGAGGTGGTGTGTATTAAGCCTCATTCTACCCCTCAGATGTGAACCATGATACCCAGAGGGTACCTCGGGGATAGAAAATTAAAAACTCTTCCTGTCCAGACTCCCTCCCCTTCTGGGTGGTTTGACCTGTCGTGAAACTTTTAACAGACCACTTAGGTGTAAATAAGAGACTGACCTGGTATGGTTCATCTTAACCTGGTGCAAGCTGCAAGGCCACCTTGAGTGTCAGTGATCTCCTAAGTTGGGGGGGTCAGCAAAGGTTTGCTGTAAAGGGCCAAATAGAAATATTTGGGGCTTTTCGGATCATAAGTCTCTGTCAGAGCTACTCAACTCTGCCATTGTTAATGTGAAAGCAGCTATAGGCAATATATTTTTAAAGAATATGTATGACTATATTCCATAAAAATGTATCTATAAAAACAGGCTGCAGGCTGTGCTTTGGTGACCCCTGCCCTAGCCTGCAGACTTTCTTGTAGAGACATAAAGAACATGTGATAAAAACTGAGGCCAAAGTGGGTGGGGCAAAAAGGATCAGCACATTGACCAAGAGTTGGTGTATTTGTGTGTCTTATATATCCAGCAGTTTGCTTGTATATATAAACCCAATAGGATTGCACCCTCACTCACTGCAGATCATTAAGAACACAGTGCAATTCTAAGAAATTAAAATGATTTGGAGGAAAAATTACTTTGTTGTGAGGACAGAAAATATTTTTATAGCCACAATTAACCCATTTTATCACCTGTGCAGTCTGCAGTTAAGAAAGTAGGCTAAAGAAGGATATGATTCTCATCCATAAGTACCCAAAGTGCAGCCACCAAAAGCAAAGAGAGGAATTGTTCTCATTAGTTAGCAGTAACAAGGCTAGGAAGAATGGATTTAATTTGGAACAATAAGAATTAGGTTTAAATAGTAGGGGGGGAAAGCAGTTAAGAGGAAAAGTCAACTGGGGATTATCACCAACCTCCAAAAAGGAGGAAAAGCAACATTTACTGGGAATCTTTGAATGTGAGTTTTGTGAACGTGCCTATCTACCGAGGAAAGCAGAATGAGATTTCATTGCTGGGCTCTGGAGTGGAGGTGGCTGGCTGGAACCACAGCAGCAAGCTCGGCCCTGGAAGCAGTGCCCGTCTCCAGCACCTGCTCTTCCAGTATGCCTTGGAAACAGGAGAGCTGGAAGGAAGAGGCTTAAGCTGGAAGCCTGTCTGATCTCAGAGTGAACCAGAGCAGGTCAAGACTCTGCTTAGGAATGCAGGGAAGGACTGCTTGGAAACGATCACCTTCAAAACGTAGAATAGGGGTCTTGAGAAGAGTTGTGAACCTTTAATGCTTCCTCAGATGCTTCAGGAACCATATGGTACTATGAACCTGAGCTTAAGCATCTTAAAAAGCCACGCCAAGGAGCACAGAGGAAGGCAGCCATAGTTAGTACAGCTTATCTTTATTTGGCCTGTAAGAACCTCCATAATTTACAAAACTCTGTGAGATTTATGCCGCATATAACTTAATGAGTATTTCATGGCAGCTATAACTAGTCTATTATTACCAGCTCACTTTCATTTTCTTTTTTTATTCAGTGTGACTTAGTAGGAAGAATAAGATTTGACACAGCCATGAGCATCTTTATCAAGTCTGATAATGTGCTACCAGTTTATCCATTTCTTGCCATTCCTGTTTTGTAAAGTGTCTCCACTTCTAAGAGAAATGTTGTTTGTTGGTTTGTTTTCTGGTCGTTTAGTTGGAGTTGGCAGTGTTTTTATAAAATGGATATGAGGATCCTGGGAACTTCTGGGAGGAACCGAAGCATTCCATGTTAAATCTTAAAAGCAAAAATACAACAAATTTTACATCAAAATGTGTAGAGCCCCCTTGGGTATTATAGACTTATTCCAGTGATGTTTTCATTGCTTAAACATTCTGGAAAATTCCAACAGATTGTCCTTCAGAGCTTGGGTTAGGAAATGCCATCTGATATTTTTAGAGAAAAGTAAAAGAGACCCTACGATGTAAAGAAACCACACCATTCTGGAATGGACCTGACATGCCTGTGACCCTCTTGAGCATGGGAACCCTTCATTGGTCTAATAATTTCAAATCATTTTCTGTTCACTAATGGATCGTTTCTGGTGTCTACCAGAGATAGAAAGTGTGTGTGACTGTATTCCAGTAAAAATGTACTTATAAGAACAGGCTACAGGCTGTACTTTGGTGACTACTGCCCTAGGCTGCAAAGGTCCTCTTAGAGATGTAAAGAATATGTGATTAAAAACTGAGGTCAGAGTGGGCAGAGCAAAGGGAAGATTCTTTACCACATTGGAGAGGGAAGTTCCAAGTAGAAGGTCAAAAGACTTGATGACAAAATCCAGCCTCTTGTTTTGGACATTTACATAGACGCATCAGGAGAACGAAGCCATAAATACCTACTAATTTTATATGACTTTCACAATCTGTCATATGTGGATTTGTTTATTAAACACAGTTTGTTTCCTTGTACTAAAGAAAATTACTCAAAAAGAAAGGAAGTGCCACTACTGAGAGCGGAAAGAGTTGGACAGGAGGTAAACGATTTCATTCCCCCTTCCAGTGCCCGGGCTCTGGCAAGGGTCACATGTGGGCAAAGCTTCATTCTTCGAGTGCGGGTGTTAATTGTGGAAATAACCAAAAATACCTTGGTGGTTGTCAAGCTAGTACCAAAAATAACCAAAAATACCTTCTGAGTGGTTGTCAAGCTAGTACATTGCTCCAAAACAAAGTCTAAACTCTGAAATTAGTGTGTGTGGGGCGCGGGGGAGAGCACGAGAGAGGAAGGAGGGAAAGAGATTGAGTTTGTGTTTTATATACGGCTGCTGAAGGCGATTCCTAGGAATTCCTGGAGGTTTTGAGCAGTGGTAACACTGTCATGGGAATAAGCCCTTTTTACCCCCAAGTTGACCTATTCGAGGGAAGAGGAAATGCTCTTCCAAGAACGCTGGGGAGTGTGACCCCAAGATGAGCACTCACACTAAAACAGACTCGCCTGTCGTGGAGACCCCAGAGTAGGAATGGCAAAGAGGCTTCATCTCTCCTGCCCGCTCTGAGTGCCTCTCGCTCTCTCAGTGCAAGCACTGCATTGGGAGGATTCGTGAAAGCAGTAGGTAAATCCAGCAAGTAGGAGTTCTGGCTTCCACTAGCCATGTCTGCCACTCTAGGCTGCACACAGTCCTTCCTCACATGCTTGAAGTCTCCCACATCTCTTCCTCTGTCATCCTGAAATCCCCACACGTTAAAAACTCTGTAGGGAAGTAGGTATCTTTTTCAACTCTTAGTCCCCTGGAGGTCTTCGAATCACTGACTGATTAGTTTAGTCAGTCTTCTTATCATCCTTACCCCACCAGGCTAAGGTCAGCTGCTCTGACAGGGTTTGAGTTCTGTTTGGATGGTTGGGAAGCAAGAAGGAGAAATTAGAATGGCTGATTCGGGGACATGCAACATTTGGGGGGATGGCAAGAATTTGTGGGGAGAGCTTGGGCAGAATGAAGGCATCGGTGCCCTAGGGTGAAGAATTGGTGCAAAGAAAGAGACACTAAGACAGAGCTGGGTAGGTGCTGTAGGCACCATTTTTCCTGTTTCACAGTTTGCTCAGATTATCTGTTGTTCTCACCAAGTGAACAGAGGCTCTTCTTTCTTTTGCTGATTTCTTTTAAACCAAACGTCTTCCCACTCATCTGGGCCTCGTGGTGATTACATAGACGTATTAAACAAGGCAAGAATTAGATCATTAAAAAAAAATCAGAGAAGGCCAAGAGATCAAAATAATTTAGAGATTGCTTCAAAGTAGCTTACATTTCTTCGTTTTTGGTTCACACTTCTGCGATGTACTATTTTCTGTGTCAATTATTAATCATGATATTAATGAAATCACAGACAAAATGTGTCTGACAAAGGCAAAAAGATCTTTGCTGAAGTATGTATTCATGAAATAAAATTCTGTGGAGGGGAGGGTGTCATAGGGCAGAGGGATTTTTACAAAGTATTGTTTCAAATATAAGTTCTCTCCACTGAAGTCTATTGTTGAGAAATTAATCTGCTCAGTATTTGGAGAGAAGCTATTCCTGTGAGTGACATCTGCCTATTGTCCCTTCATCTAGGCTCTGTGGAGCAGTGTCAGGTTACACTCACCTTTTTTATACAACAGAGACAAAACTGAATAGGACCAGAGAAAGGATTACCATGGAGTGCTTGCTATTGCTATCCTGAAACTCTTGACAGAGTTAGCTTCTCTTTATGATGTAGTTAATGCAGGGCGTAAAATTAGCTTCTCTTTATGTAGTTAATGCAGGGTGTAAAAAAGACATCCTATTCATTTTATTCTCTCTGTGTGTAATTTACAGTAAATCCTCTTGGATTTATTTTTTAATTATGAGCCTTTCAGGAACAGTGGAAATTTATGTGTCGGGACATCTGTTTTGTTTGACAAGAATCTATAACCTTCCCCAGCTGTTTCCCTCCTGTCTTATAATGTAGATACTTACATAAACCAAAGTAAAAGAGAAAGGGTTAGTATTGTTCACACTGACCCCCTTTCCAAAATGGTAAAGTGTTCTCTTTCCAAAAAACTGCCCCCCCCAAAAAAAAAAGACTGATGATATTCTCTTAGTGTCAGGTTTGGGAAATCAGATATTTAAGTTTGGCTTGTATAGTATTGTTTTCCCATAATTTATAGCACTTGAAGAGACTTCTGGAGAAAAAACGGGAGCAGAGCTGAATTATGATAAATGGTCTGTTGCTCACATCTATTGCATCTATAAATTGCTGGCCTGCATGCTTCACTTGGCTGTCCCCGTGTGGGATATTTACAGCAAACCATCAACAT